TGTCAGATTTTTACTTTAAAAAAATAATTTGCAGATATTTTAGATTTTTCAGTTTTGTGTAGTTGGATTTTTTTAAAAATATTTTGCATGTTTTATTTTAAGATTTGCAGGATTTATTCAATTTTTCAATGTATTTATTCAATACAAAATAGCATATTTTATTTCTCTTTATTGCATTGAAAACTAAATGCTTTTCTTGTTTAAAGTATTTTCTACAAATAGCAACATCCTATAGTCTCCTCTTTTAGCAAATGTTTTATGTTTTTCTCTGGTTTAAAAACTAAAAATCAAATGGAGGTTCTTTAAAAATGACCACAAATGTCCTGCTGTAGATATTTATCAAAAAAATGTATGTTCTCTTTGCACAAAACGTTTGTTAGCTCCATCCAACCTTCCAAATCTGATTATTTTCCAATACTACAAAACCCACAGACAACCCAAAAGAACTCACCAAGTAACCTGGTAATCCACTTAACTTCAGCAGAATGGTCTTTTTTCTTTAATTACAATTCCAGCAAGGAGTTAAAGGCTAAAAAATCAAACAAAAACTAATATAAAAAAAGCATTCTCTTGACTCCAACCTCAGCAGGTGAAGAAAGGAGGAGATCAAGCTGTTAAAAAATGTTATATTTCATAAGTTGGTAGATCAAACCAGGAATAAAAGGAGCCTGGACTTGAAACACTGGGACACAAATAAGATCCAATATCTTTTGCTACAAATGACAGGCTAACTGGAATATGTTTTCACCAGACTCGACTATTAATATTCCTACTTTGTATTTGTTTCTCTGGTACGAAAAAAGCTGTTATTGGTATGTCACAGTTTTATCTCTCACATGCACAGCTGGTTTTGTGTGATAATAGTAATACAGCGCGTTTCCTTCTGACTGCTGACTCTGCATTAATGCTCATTCTGGGGATCTTTTCACAGGAAATGAGGGATAAGCCACAAAGACACGTACTCCGTCTTTTTTCCCTCTTCATCCTGGGGGGATTTTTTTTTTCTAATGGTGAGAACAGGGCTTACGTAACAAACAACACACACACAGACATGTGTCTGTGTGTGCGTTTGGGATCCAGGGAACCAATGGAAGAGTATGAGAATGCTTCCAGAAACTACACACAGATCTCAGAGAAGCAGTTCTGTCCAGAACAGTTTCTTGAAGTTAGCAATGCTATCAAGCCAATCGCAAGGTCAGGCATCGACCATCAATTTACAAACCTTTCATTTTCAACTGTGTCCAGGATGCTAGCCAACAAGAGTTAATATTCATTTCAAGGTCCGAGTCAATAACCATGTGAAGAAGCGTGAGAGAAGCAAGCAGCACAAGACAGCTGAGAACCCAGCTAACAGTTGCTAAAGAGTGACGGCGCCACGTCTGGACATCAACGCTTAATGCGGTGAAGATTTATGATTTGCTCAGCGAAGCAGAGGATATCCAGAGAAAAGTTGTATAAGGCCAGAAACTTAGAGACTTAACATACCGGCAACCTGAAGAGAGATAATTTACAATAGTGGGGAAACAATAACTGTAATTTCCTACTGATTTATCTCATCTTATTTTTTATTCATGCCTTTTTTTTTCTTTTTTTTTTTATAAACCAGGTCCATCTTCCACTGAGATCAGAAACTTATTTTTCAAGGGACACCTTGCCAAGGTAACAGGTATTCAAATCAAAACTACATAAATACTGGGACACAATGCACAAACAGTAAATTAAAACACCAAAGCTGTACTTATTACATGCAGGAGACACTACATGTGAACAGGAGGTGCAAAGTAGAGGTGCACCAATAAATCGGCCCCGATTTCCTTAGTTGTGGGTGATCGGCGGATAGTTGCATGAAAAATCTACCAATCTTTTCTACTTCCACAAAGATCTGAAAAACAGTCACTGCCCCTTTTTGCTCCTTCGTGAGAGATGCTGACTGACAGACCTTCCCACCTGGTCACATCTGCACATATGCTGTTAACAATAGTCACTCTGTTGTTGTCAACCTAGCAACTTTTACAACAACAACAAAAAAAATCGTTATCTGTCAAAATAAAAATCAGCAGGTTGGGCTTTTTAAAGATCCGTGATTGGCCAGAAAATTCCAATCGGTGCATCCTTCATCCAAACTATTGCCATTAGAGGGGACAAGACGCATCGCAGCATCCTCAGCAACAACAATGCTGAAAACTACCGAATATAATCCATATTAATTTGTTATAATGGCTGCACATTGTAAAAAGAATACAAAGAGATCACAAAAAATCCCTGAACTTCTGAGGCAAAATCTTTTTGAACTTCCTGCAAAAGCCAGCTGTACTGCAGTACCAACATTAGTTTGTCCACAAACAAGTTGAGACGGTGTCATGGAGAGGTACCTCCACGTCAAAGTGTGGGAACTTGTGTTGATTAGCCAGAGGCAATAAAACTGTGGTTAGCTCCATGAAAATAAATAGGATTCAAAACACGAGCCTCAGCGACAAACGATAAGGTAAAAAGGCAATTTCTCTGCACTCTGCTTTGTTTGGATCCTAAACCATAAAATATGTGAATGTGTGGGCATATTCTGTGCTTGCACCAAAGAAGATGCAGACACCTCAGACAAAGAGTCCCTGTGTCATGAACTTGTAGAAATGAGTAGAAATCACCAGAGCCCTGAATGCCTAAGGTCAGTGCGTGAGAGCTGTACATCAGTACGCAGTCTGATAACATGATAATGTTCTAAATATAAAGCTTTCTCAAACAATAACTTATCAGTTTCTAAACACACTGCAGTGCTATTTCTGGCTGAATAGACGAGAGCCCACTTGCTCAGGGCAACTAAATGAAAAACAAAACAAAACAAAACAAAACAAAACAAAACAAAACAAAGCATCATTTCATTTAACATATCAGCACTGCAGATCTGAAATGCAGTCATACCACAGATTGCATCTCCACTTAAGCAGGTCTCAAAATACAGCTTTTACGCATAAAAAAAAAAAAAAAAATCAAAATTCCAGTTGCTATTTTGAGTGTAACTAAATATATACCGGGGCACCTACGCAGAATTTTAATTTCCCGTCAAATGTTTGTGAGCATCTTCCTCTTCCGCTCTTTCCTGAACAGGTCATTAAAAAAACGGTGCAGTCATTCAATAATTTAATTCTGGGACTTATGACTGGCTCCATTCACTCTTCTGTCATTTGCTACATTAAGTAAACATGCTTTGTCATTTGTCAGCCATGGCAATCAGAGAACCAAATGAAAAATAACCACACCCGTTCTGCTCTACCAGCTCGTTTGTTCAACAAATCCAGCAGTGAGGATTGACTGACCTTTGACCAACTGGACAAATCTGTACCCTGGAAGGTCTGTTTAGAAGTGATACCGCAGGCCACTGATAAAAAGAGAAAGTTTTCTGAGCCAGCTTAACAACCTACACTGCATCATCACGCTGATAAGTCAGATTCATGTTCCTAGACATCTAAGGTTGTTGAGTGATTTAGTATCAGTGTGTCAAAAGATCATGAAATAAACGTGATAGAGTGGTTTCTATTGGACAAGATTGTGCTACATCAGCTCCCAACAGCTGACCAGTTGCTTTGCAAGCTAATAAAACATCTACATTTTCATTACATTTGCAAGACCCAGCAACAAAAAAAAGAAATTCTGAGGTCAAACTGGAAAAACTCACAGATTAATATGCAGGACCTTAGAATGCCACAAGGCAACAGCTGAGAGTTAAAAGCTGAACACTAATAAAAGCAAGCCAGGCCGAAGCCATTTTTGGCAGATTGTGTTGCTGTTAACAGATGCACCTCACAGCTGGAGAGGCCGAGCTGGGATTTGTTTTCACAGCTGGAAATTCTCCAGTGAGATGCATAGCTCACGTGCTCGGCGGGCAGGACATTACGTTCAAAGAAAGAGACGGTGGTGTGGATTCTCAGCCGTCCAGGACAGGACAATCCTACAGGCTTCAATAAAAGGCAACTGGACTTCTTATCTTTTTCCTTGAAAATAAGAACCCAAGTTCAACTGCCATGTTCGTAATCCTTTAAAGAAATAACTCTTTGTCTGCTGGACAAATGTCACGCTAGTTTTCCCCATTAACATTTCCGTAGTAAAAACTCTCCTTTAATGTTCTTAGGAACCTTTTTGAAATGCTCAAATAAATTACAATTTTGATGTTATTCTAATTTATTAAGTTGCATCTGTATATTTGTTCATTTTTGTCCATTACGGGATACAGCTTTCTTTTACAACATGTGATGCCACATAGGCTAGGAGCAAGCTTAAGTCCAGCTGCTTCCTTTTTCACATCTGGGCATCTTTATTTTAGGATGCTAAAAGTTATAGACAGCAAAGCAACCAAATATTAAATATCAGAAAGACGAAAACTCATTTGACCAAAATCTTCTCTCTTTAGAAGCCTTGATAGCATTAGCTCAAGTAAGGCTACACCTATGGTTTTTATGTGGGCCTAATTCAATACCAATGCTGAGGCACTAGGCTGGATAAGCAACAACATATTTCAAAAGAAGATCATTCTGGCTATGGCTAAAGCAGCACTTGGCTGGAGATTTTAGAGATTCTGCCAAAAATATACCAAAAACAAATTAGCTCATGTTTTCTCTCACAATGTTCACCATTTCCTTTATATGTAATTAACTTCTTCAGCTCACATTTGAAGTTAAATGGAAACAAATTCAGCACAAATCCAGAAAGATATGATCCACAAAATGGCTTCTTTGTTTTGGTTTCACAAAAAAAAAAAAAATGATAGTGATTGAATACAAAGTAGGCTTCTGGGTCATCATCTCTAATCATCTATGGGCATTCTGTCCAGCCAGATGGACCACAAATGGAGCAAAAAAAAATCTCAGCAAAAACTCTGGGAAGGAGGTGAAAACAGCAGAATAATCATGGATATATTTTGCAAAACATCATGTTCATGTTGAAAGGGTTTCAAAGAAAACATGCAGGACTTGTAATTCATACCTAAAAAAATTCACAGCTACAAAATAAAAAAAATAAAAATCCCACTTTTTACTGCACTCATAAAAATAAAGTGCTAAAGTTGATGATGGTCTTGCTTAAACCAGAACCAAGAGGTAAAAGCTGCTCTAACTATGTTCTAGTTACCAAAGCAATTAAAATCTCCCCAAACATGAAGACTGATACAGACTCTTGTTTTGACACAAGATGCATGTTCTTGCCAAGTGTTTTTTTTTTTAAGGCGCTCTGTAAAACTGTCAAGACGAAGAGGATCAGCTGTGTGTGTGTGTGTGTGTGTGTGTGTGTGTGTGTGTGCGCGCGCGCGCTCAATTGGGGAGCCAATACCTCCATGTAGACCAAACTTCAAAAACAAAAAGGGGCCAGGATGTTAGGGGAGCAGGTCTGTGTGTGGGTGTGTGTGTGTTTGGGACAAACAGATCTTTGTTCTCTCTGGCAGTGTTGTCCAGGCAGTTGGCAGGACAGCTAAAAACACTGAAGGACCCCCACAAAACCCCACAGTAGTACTGGGAACAAGACACGCACACACAGTCAATGCGCTTCACTTCCTCCGTCTACGGTTTCAGGATGCAGACCTCTGAAGCGCTCAGTGCAAACACCCACTAGCTGGGCAGTTCAGCTGCTAGAGATGTGCACAGTGAGCCCATAAACACTGAAGGGGACAGAGGAGTGCAGAAGGTGCTGGAGGTACGTACTGGTTAGAGCGTAGTTGGGGTTTTCCAGTTCCATGCGCTGCAGCTGAGCTCGTAGGTAGACCTAAGGGTGAGCCACAGAAAGTAACATCGACGGTTAACATTAATAACGCAGAGAAGACCTAAACTGCTATACAGGTGCACAGTTTCATGTATTTTTTTTTTTTTGACACTACATGCTCCTAAGTTTAAATCAGCACTACCTTGATGTCAATGCCTCTCGCTGAAGACGTGTTGTTGAAGAACCGTGGGGGAATTTTTGAGGATATGTCAGGTTCTTCTCGACCGAAACCCAGATTTAAAAGGATTTCCTCTGGGTCTTCCTCGCACAGGTCCAGCAACTCTGAAACACTGTTAATAGTCCGACTGTTAGCAGCCCACCATGCACCATGCGAAGTGGAATCATGCAAGACATCAAATTAATATGTTTATTGGTTGGTCTACTTAAAGGAAAATTTTTTAAAAATGATCATAAGTGAGGATTCAAATCCATGTGCTGAAATACTTAAACATGCATTGCACATTTTTGTCAGATCACAACCTTCTTTGTACTTTCTTAGGATTTAGTGTGATAGATCGACATGAAGAAGGGAATCATTTGAAGTTGAAAAGAAAATAAACCGTTTTTAAGAATGCATCATGTATTTCTATTTAGCACCCCTGCATCAGTGGTTTGTAAAAACATTTTTGCTGCATTTTAAGCTGCTAAATCCTCTCCGCCTGTTTTGCACATCTAGAGATTTACATTGAAAGCAAATGGAGTTTATTCGGAGTAAAAAAATGGCCTGAATAAAATTAAAAACGGCACTTTTGAGAACAATTTACAAACTTTAAAATTTACTTTAAACTTTAAAAAAATCATGAACTGAATTCCTTTGAATTGCTAGTTATCTGATACTTTGTGTGTCACCTAAAATCTCAATAAAACACACAAATGTTTGTGGTTGTGAAGTGATGAGATGTAAAAAAGTTATTTGCCCAAAATATATTGAGAAATCTGCAGGATCCTTAAGAATCGACCCAAATTGCAGCTTAAAACTTAAAGAAACTTTTTGGAGATTGCTTGGCATGGACTCATCCATTTGTTATAAATCAGGTCTAAATTTTGTATCCAACCTCATGTAACGTGTCTGAGCCAGTGAGAGCCATTTATGTTAAGTAGCATCAAGAGCACACTGCATCTCTATTTTCTTTCACTTGAGACCACTTGTCTCCATCTTGAAGAAACCTCAGCAACTTAAGAGTAATGGGATGAACTGACCTGGATACAGTGCTGCTTTTCCCTGATCCTGTCGAGTTCATGCTTCTCCCCCTCTCTTTGTACTGAATCCTCTTCTGATCCGCCACGAAATCAAAACTACAAAAAGAACCACAGAGCAACAAGGACGTACAACGAATTGTTAGAGTAAGAAGAGAGGCTGACCAACTAAACCTCACACACTGAATGATGAGGGTGAATAATAAAAACAACTCACCAGGCTTCAGGTTTATTATTTTTGGACTGAAGATGATTGGCTGCAGAAACAAAAATGTAAGAGAATCAGGAGTCAACAGAACCGACAGAATGATTTGCTGCAGGGAGGGAAGTGGTTTCGATGTCTTAGTGTTATTGGAGTTGAACTTTGAAAACCAGTTACATGTAGAAAACCTGAGTTAAGGTTTGACCCGTTGGTGTATTTTGGATTTTGAACTAGCGGGTCGAATGCAAGCCTCATCAAAAAACCACTGCTATGGCAACTTTCCCTTTGAAATCAAAATGAGATTGTAAACACAAGCGGTTGTGGTTGGTTCTTGGAGATGAGATGCAGTGTAGTTAAATCGAGTTTTAAGCATGCAAGGTTCCCAATGCATCAGGAGAGAATGTGATTTTGTGATTGCTGCACAGATTTCCCTTAAAACCTGATCTTACTCGAACAATTCTCTACAGATTTAACGGGGACTGGACAAGTGTAATGCGACAACATTTTTTTGAAATCGAAATCTTCTCAAATAATTACTCTCCATAGCTACAGAATGCACCAAAGTCAAAACACCACCCTTATGAGCCAGCTGACAGGCAGTGCAGCTGCTCAGCTCTGCCCCAGGTTGAAAACAGAAGAACTAGTGAGAGTTGTTTGTACCTGTTCTCTACGGGTCAGGTGGATCTGTCACCGTCTGCACTGTCACATGTTACCATGCTGTATCTTGGAGATCAACATCAAATTTAATATATGGAGTGCATTCTTTCTTCCCTACTCTGACACTGGATTATATAAAACTGTTTTTATGCTTAACCACCATTTACTGTATTGTCTATGAGAACTTAAAGCCAAACTGCAGTATGAGTGATATTTTAATTTCCATAGAACCTGTTGAGACCTGCAGGCGCGCTACCATCTCTCCGTTTCTCTTTCTGTTGAAATGGCCTATGTTTTCTTCTCCGGCAGACGGCTGGATTAAGGGGGCAAATGATAACAAAGTTCAGCTGCATCTGGAAACTTGTTCACTCACTTCCATCTCATCTACCCCGAACCATTTAATTTACTAATTCACTGCCATTCCATTCAGTGGCTAAGACTTTAATCTGTTCCAACCCCGTTCTTACATTGCTTGATGTCATTATGGTCAATTTGGATCTGTTCGTACATGACATCGACAGAGACTTTTTACTTCACACTGGACATCAGCTGCCTCAACAGAACTCACTCTGTGCACAATCGCAGCACTTACAGCCAGGACTTAATAACCTGAAGCACACAGAGAAACTTGCACTAACAGAACAGAAATTACAGATGAAAGTGAACAGATTTACTTATCAGTTCTTGGCTGGATGTTTTTTTGTTTAGCTTATTTGGACCCAACTGGCTGTTAAAACATAACTTAGTATTGAGAAAAACTGAAAATATTTCATTTCAGTTGCAAACTGGTCTCTAAATTAAATCCGAATGCTTTTGCCAAACATAATAAACCTGCATGATTTGTATTCCTCCATGTTGGTTTAGGTTTCAATTGCATCTGCTTAAAATCTTTGCAGTACTGTTTGATGGCGATAATTTCAAAGAGCTTAATCAAAATCCTCTCTTTTGGTAGTAAAAATAGAAAAATTATTTCTATTTTATACTGCCAAACATAGTGTAAAACATTAATTGTATTTGCACTGGTCTATAATACATGTTTCTTTTACTCTTCATTTCTTTAAACTTTGTCCCTTCAGCTCTAACCCATCACATATTTGGACATCCTTCTGTGGACTTCGGTGAATATCTTTTTTTCCCCAAAAAAGATGTATTTTTGTCTTAATATATAGCTCAACTCTGAACAATGGATCAGTCAACTGTATAAAACGACATCCAAAAAAAAAAAAAAAAGGAAAATGTGTAATGTTGTGTCTACACCTAACAGATCACTTGGCAAAGAGGCAATTTCATATTAAATCTCGAGGCACTTTATTTTATTTTTTGCTAGTGTCGCAATTGGATATAAAATTGTACATTAGCACCAATGAGGTCATTTTCAAAGAACAATGAACTGAAAAATTGGCATTAGACCATCAACATGTGCATGATGCATCTACAAGGTTACCAATCAGTTCTTAACTGGATATTTTTTTATGTTCTCAAAGACATGGCCTTTAGATACGAGTAAAATGTTGTAAATCACGTGTAGCTCTGCCATCCCTTAATTTGTCCTTCAAGGACAAACAAGGCCTGGACAGAAAATAAATAAAACCCAAGGAATGTGTTCAAAGTCTATAGCATGGTTCGGTTACCAGTATTCTATTTTTTGTGTTTTTTTATAGATTTAAAAAAAGAAAAACTCTTTAAAAACACAGATCATAACACTGATGCTCTGAAGTCTCTTTAATGAGATCGTAGAGTGACTAGAGTAGACATTTGGAAGATGGAGTAAATCCGTGCTTTCCCCTCCAGCATCTATTTCTGCATTCTCCTGGTCAGTTTTCTAAAAGTTGACTCCTAGACTTTTCTCTCGCTTACAAGACTGACAATTTTAGCTGTTTTAAAACATCTACAGTTGCACAAAATACCAGTAGTCAGAGTTTGGTTAGTTGGAAACCTCACACTTTGATCTTTTTCCCGTCAGATCAGTAAATGCACCACGCAAAGACGTGCATGGTCACAGTAAGAATAACACTAGATGGTTTCACAGAGTTAAAGAAAAAAATAAAAAAGGCAAACTTCAAATTTAGCTACTTTTGAGGATCACATTACTGTTGAGCAAAAGCCCAAAATCTCCATTTATTTTTGTTTTCCTACATGGTTTAAATCTTTTCGTCGCACTTCACTTCTGTTTGACATTCAATTTAAAACAAAACCACTGAAAAAGCATTAAAATAAAATGCAACTTAGGGAAATAATTTGACATATGAAGACTTTTCTTTGGCGATTTGGGCTGCAAGAGAGCGAGAGAGAGCAGGGCTTCTTGCAGAAAGCAAGAAGTTAAGTTCAGGGTCTCCAGTCTTTCTGCGATACACACAGAGACTGCCTTTTTTTGTCTATGTAATAAAGCAGCCAGCCACATAAATCAAAGACTATTAAAAACATCAACTCCACAATCATTTTGTCTTTGTTTTTGTTCTCTCTCACACAGTGTAACATCGCCTCTGTTACACACATAATTAATGATGGGTCATGGCAAGAACCCACATGTAATAAAGCTTACATGCTTGCATTCTGACATGTCAAAGTTTCAAACAAATCAGAACCAGCAGCTCAAAACTTAGAAAAGCTGAATTTGAAATCCACAAAAAAAAAAAAAAAAAATCAATCTGTTTGGTTCATCTTTACCACCAATCACTTACTGACCCATCTCTAATCTGTAAAAGTCCTAATATAGAAAAGCTTTGGAGAGGATTGTATATAAAGATCACACAAATACCACTAAATAAAAGACTATTAAAGCATTTCCACAGATTCTGAATTTAATACAGTCAACAACACCTAAACACGCTGAGGCTGCATTTGTCGCTCTAAAATAGATTAAATTGATCCTTTTTAA